TTGGATAGTCAAAACCAAATTTCGACAAATTTGTCTATGGAGTCTCTTGACAATAGTATAGCCATTTTCTACAGATTATCTTACCGTTTCCCACTGCTCCGTGAATCATTTGGCTTGCTCACAGAAGTGTCATCCCTCTTTGCACGCCTCTTTCTTGGAGGTGGTCCGTCTTTCGCCCTGGAATTAGATGCTCCCTCCGATGCAGCATCCTTTTTAAGCCTCTTCTTTGGCGCTTTTGAAGTTGAACTTGTTTCGTTGGGAGGCAACTCCTCTTCAGATTCTTCATCTTCTGCAGTTGCCCACTTCAAATCTAAAAAAAAGGCATTTAATCAACGTATCACTTGTGCCTGGCATGGGTACTGTATAGTTGCAATGGTAGGTATACGATAATGAAGCACTTCAGCTTTCCAGAGAAACTCCTTGCCGTACAATCTACGACATCTGCATTTTACCATTTTGCGAAGGTTTTTAACTCATCTGCTGCCATGAGGATCAAAGGCGATACCGAATAGTTGCAAAAAGCCAAGCCACAGGTACCACCGGTGATCCCCAGACATGTTTCTCTTGCATGGGCAATGCATCCCAGTGGCACGTCGTGAAAGGTTTCGTGACTAAGTGGATTGCACTCCAATTTCATATTTCATGGAGTCATTCCTTCCGTCCAACCGCAGCACATAGGTGGAGTTTTGCATTTTTATGTGTGGCAGCCAATGTGTTAAAGTACTAACTTCCGTTTACGCGAGATTGGTGGTATGCCTGGCTAGAAGTTCCAGAGCATTCTGTCAAGTCATTTTCAATATAAGGACAACATACATTTGGGGTTGAATAGAAAATTGGAGTCGACCATATTACTGCTAACTTGTACATGGGTGATCGGACTAAAAACATCAAGAGCTAGAGTGAAAGACTTTGAAAAGTGAACTCAAAGTATGTATCTCCTTGGGTGTGATTTTAAATAGATAATTGCAAAATTTGATTTCCTGAATTTTTTAAGGCAGATTTCCCCATGTCGAAGGTTGGGACAACGCTTCAACATTTGGTAACTCAGTTCAAAGATGAAGATAGTATTTAAAAAATGAAGATCTCAAGCATTTCCAAAAATGGAAGTTGTCTCCCCCTGTAGACACAATCACGCACACAAACACACAATCACACGCACACAAACACACACACACACACGCACACAAACACACACACACACGCACACAAACACACGCACACACACACGCACACAAACACACACACACACACTCACACAAACACACAAACACTCAACCACACTATCTCCCTCTTTCCATCTCAGGGAAGCCTGCCTTAAATGGGACTTTTCGTGAAAAGTTGTACACATTAACACGTAAAGGAATAACCCCTAGCCAACATGTTCAAAATCGTCTGAATTCTCATTCAATCGTTTTTCGTTCTCAGTGAAAAGCCACAATGGGCTTAATCGGAGCCTCATAAAGAAGTTATATTTTTTGGACCATCTCGAATATATATTCCTACTACAAATGTCGGGAGGCAGTGGATTCAAAACATACATATTAGGCTAAAATTTCTACGACTACTTCTTAGTGCAGCCACTTCTCATGAGAGACTTGCTGTCGAGAGTCACGGGTAAAAGTGTATTTAGGTGAAAGAACAATGGGGGGTGAGAGTCAGTGATGAGAAAATTACAGGTACTGAGGGAATCACGGGTGATGAGAATGACGTACACTTCTCAGTACAACTGAGAAGAAATGTGAGATTTGATGTACAGTTGAGTGTTTAAAATTGGTGCAGAGCAATAGTCTCAAAGCCCTTATATTGTCTGCAAATGTGGCGCCAGTGCATTATTAACTCAGGTTGACCGCTGCAGGATCAAATGTCACCATTTTTAAAATGTGAAAATGAAATCTAACAGGAAATCAATGGCTTTAGAATGATGTTTCAAACCCGAAATTGGGTCCAAAACTAATTTGAAAGGTGGTAGGAGTCTTGTGAAACCCATATAATTCAAAATATTGACCTAATGCAGGACCAACATTGGACAAACGTACCCAATGTTGGTATTGCATGGGGCCAATATATTGTGCCATTGGGGACGGTGAACTCTGCAGAAAATCTTTAAAAAAAATAAAAAATGGGTTTGCATGTCTACAATATCTCACACATCTAAAAGCGTCATGCCCATCGATGAATATTTTATTATTATTAAAGCTGTTTCAAATCTTGTTAGTTCTGGAAAACATCCTGTACTTCACACCCACATATTGAACATGGTCCTTCAGAAAGTGCAAGTAAAACAATATTTTCATCGATGACGGATGAATTTACTTACCCTTTCGAAGTTTTCTGGCGAAAGAACTGGCGGAAGTACTTTCATGCTGCTCAAGGGACTTCAATAATTTCTCTGCAAAAGGCTTGTCTTTCTCAAAAATAGACTCCAATAACGCCTTGAAGGCGTTATCCCCTCCCCTAGGTATCTTTTCTATGAGGAAACGGGCTTGCTTCTTCTTGCTCTCATCGATGACCTCTAAGTATTCATCGTCCTCTATAACATTCTTCTTCCTCAAGCCTAAGAGAATTTCTCCAATGTTCGCAAACAGTTGAAATTCTTTCAGATGAGCAAACAACACGTCTGATACTGCCTGCCCATGCACAGCCATGATTCCTGGAAAACGCTACCAGTCCATCCGCCAAAACTGTAAAAATGAAGGAGTTTTCTTCATTCCTTTCATATATAGACTCTGGGAAGACAATACGTAAACACTCCCTATTAAATGCGAACTACAAAACCTGTGCAGAGACGCTGTGACACATAATGATGGAATTCAGAAAATCGGAAGTCTTACCTCAAAATAAGGAGTTATTTAAATGACACTATACGAGAATAAATGATTATATATGCTAAACGTGTAAACGCACAGTCCCACAAACCCTCGAGCAGCAAAAACTGAGTGTGCTATGGCTTCGGCGGATCAATGGGAGACTTCCGTCACCCCACTGATAAGGTCTTCATAAGTCTGGTAGCTCTTATCTTGCTGTCGACTTTCTGCACTATCGGCGAAGCTCATTGGCCCTTAATCAGCGAGTGACCTTCAAATCCTAACCGTCATGAACAGATGTACACAGTATAACGGTATTCATAACATATTATGCAAAATTCCATGAAAGGAACTGTAGTATTTCTCTGGGGAACGTAATATTGTCATAAAGGCTTCTCAGGAATGTTAACAAACTAATAGCAATGGGACATGAGACGATTTAAAATCAGAGATGAACACATATGTAGTAGCATTTATGTGTGAATAACGAAAACTGCAACATACCATTTTGTTCAATCCGTGTTAAATTTTGAAGAATGATTTTAAAAGTACCATCCCCAAGAAAATGTAAAGTTTATATTCGAAAATACAGGGGAAGAATTTAGGCGAAGTTCGTCTTGCCATTTGATTGCTGCAGCATTCCATCAAATATCGGCGAGATCTCAACTTCATTAATATCAAGATTACAGACGCTCCTATCCGATATTGAGATAGACTCTTTGCCAAGATATGCAAATCCTTGTCTCGCGAAAGTAAGACGACAGTGTTGGCAGCCAATGAAAAGATGGCTGGTAATCATTTCATGCGTGACTCACACGACTCGCCAGACCTGATTCGGAATTTCTTCCCACTTAATGTAAATTCATTGAGTTGTATGCTATCTACTGATTCGACTGAGATGCACAAAAATAATGCACCCTTTTTGAGAAAGGAACTGGGAAAGTTGTCACAATTCGACTCTCATCTCTTGCGCCACCGCACAAATCGTAAGTCGACGCGGAAACTCAATGACCAAGCCTCAAACGAAGATTCTTCCGCCATCCGTTCTCGCTTGGAAGATGGCGTCGAACGGAAAAGTTCATTTCACAACGGCACATCTTCGGACGATAAGGAACAACTTTTATGTAGCCCCCAGTTCATATCTCGAAACGTTTGTGCTCGTAGAGCGCGCACACACACGCATAAACACACACTTGTCGCTTGGCCTAGCAGGCGGCCATTATCGCGCACGCTATACAGGGTGTTTCAAAATATATTTACACACATTAATAAATACATTGAAAATATTAAATAATTCAGAGAGGCACGATATGTGTGGAGAAGCAAGGATTTGAATATCATTGTTCACTACCACAGATGTTCACATTGTTCACGAATAGCATCCAGACATTATTGAAGGCATCATGCGGGCAGCACAGTGTTGAGCGATGCGACCGTCCCCTAGCGAGTCCGGCGCCAACTCTTGTCTCCTTGTTCATCCATGAGATGGCGAGATAAAACATGAATGCTAATTTTTCCTGAAAGTTGCAGCCCTTTCCTGT